ATAAAGAATAAACTAGTTTTAATTAAGAAAGGACTTGTATCGCTGAAGTTCCTCGGAAAGAATTTATACCGGAAATTAACAAACGAAACACAGTGAAATAAAGACACTGCACCTAAAATGATCACCTTTGTATTCTTTGTGTTTTTCTTAATAAAGTATATAAATTTCATTGTTTTATGTACAAAAATACACAATCTCATTAAATCCATCTTTTGGATTTATCTACTGTTTGATATTCATCGAAAACACAGCACAACTTGAGTACCAGAAAAATAAACTACTGTTCTATTTTGGTTTTCAATCAAAAAATATTGCACAACACTCAGACTTCCATACGTCTGACTGAAACAAACAAATGACTAAAGTTGTATATAATGTATGTATATACATAAATGGGAAAAATTCACAAACAGCAACTATAATGCAGAAACACCAACTGGTAAACATACAAAGCATCAAAGGAGGGAAAAGTAGACGTAAATAACTAGTTTTATTAAATGATATCTTACTTTATAAATTTAAGTTCTCATTTTCTTACACTTAAAATAGATTTCCAATAGATACTTCCCTTCCCTCACACAATAGCTTTTCTTGATCTTCCAATGCCCTATAATGCATTGAAAAGACATTTTCTCGTTTGATGCGCTAGCCTTTATGCCCCACAAGTTCAAGCTGCTTACTTAGCATCCATAGAGCATGCTACAACCCTTCACCAATAGGAGCACAACATACTCTTCTGAAGCAACTGGCTCCCTCTGTACTACTTTATGTGAACCTCACTTTTGAGATGAGGCCTAAAAAGAAGTGGGGAGGAAGGGTGGGAAGTGATAACTTCTTATACAATACATACCTCCTCTCACACAATAGCTAGAATCCCACATTGAGAAGGTGCAGGAACAGGTATAAGATAAAACAAGTGACCCCCTGTGGAAAGCATCCACAGAGAATTGATCAGGTGTGAATTGTAATGGAATGGAAGCACATATGTGGGGGACCACACCACTTCTGGAACAGGTATGCTCTATGCCTTCAAAGAAGTGGAGTTTCATGAAATAGGTGGCATTAAGGCCTGGATCTAGTAAAAGAAAGACCTCACAAAACAATGTATCATGTCTAAATAATCAACATGAGTCCCATTCTATATTCAACTGTACAAACATGGCTGGAAACAAACCAATTCCAGGGGGGGTAAAAGTTACAAATAGTATAAAGAAAAAAAAAATGGGCGATGAGAGGTAACTCCAAACCTACATGGAAAAAAGGGAAAGCCAATGGCAAATTCTCAGAATTATAAAGATGGAGGTATTCATCTAGACATTGCTAGGTATCTACTCAACCCCAAACATACAGATGAGGTTCCACGTGAAATAGAGTTGATGAGAGCGAGTACTTTGGGGGGTGGATAATAGTTACAAAGAGTATAAAGAAAAAATGGACAGTGAGAGGTAACTCCAAACCTACATGGAAAAAAGGGAAAACCAATGGCAAATTCTAGGAGTTATAAAGATGGAGGCATTCATCTAGACATTGCTAGATATCTACTCAACCCCAACTATACAGATGAGGTTCCACAAGGAGTGGAGTTGATGAGGTAGAGAACTTTGAGGAGGAGACATATAGGTGAGAAGGCATAAATGTAAAGGACCCCATTGCTGACTGAAGGCATCTACTCCCAAAAGCTGAGGATGAGGAACCAGAGACCAGAAGACAGCAGTTTGTTGTTCAGATGGGTGACAAATGCATCTATGTGTGGGGTTCCCAGACAAGCGCATAACCACCAGAAAACTTGAGGATCTAGGGACCAGTCCATGGGAACAACCTTATGAGAATATGATAACCAATCTTCAATAAGACTAAAAGCACCTGGAAAATGGCAAGACAAGAGCTGAATCTGGTGCTCATGAGCCCAGAATGGGAGTTCCAGAGTCCAAAAACAAAAGGACCTGGATTTGGTACCCTGCGAATCGAGATATGCACCCCAACCTACAAGAAAAACATCAGTAAAAAGATGCAAGTCTAGATGCAGAGGTGAAAGAAAAACACCAGCCATAACATTGTCTCTGTCCAACCACCAAGCAAGGTCAGCCCGAATGGAAGAAGGAAAGACAACTAGCCTTGATAATGTAATGCCTACTGGAGGGAATGCATGTGTGCATAACCAAGGGGTATGAGAGCTTTAAAGGAAGCCTACATTCAAAAAAGAGATAGAACCTTTCAAGGTGTAAGAGAATGAGGAGATAAAGTGTTGATGACCAACTACTCTATATCCCAAAGACATAGTGGAGAAAGGTTAGGCATAATTGATGTGGGAAATGAAGAGGACTACCAAATGAACTAGGTACTGTGTAGGGGAAAGAATGGACTTCTCCACTTTGATTAACCACCCCACATGAACTGCCTCTTCTAGGAGCAAACAGGTGTGGTTGGAAGATACCTAACATAAAGGAATTAGAAGAAGCCAGTCATCTATATAAAAATGAGACTGGAGTCCCAAAAAATGGAGATGTGGAGCAAAGGTCTTGACTAACCAACAAAACATGTATGGAGCTGAGGCAAGCCCAAATGGAAAAGACCAGAACTGAAAAACATGCCCCTAATGGAAGAACCAAAGAAAACAACATGAGGATAGAGAGATGGGAACATGAAGGTATGCATCTGCCATATCAAACTTGGTCATCCAAAGACCTGGAGTGAAAACAAAGGGACAGAAATAACTCCATGGTGAAACGAGGAGGATCCAGAAACCGATTTAGATGGTAGAGGTTGATGACAGATATCCAATTCCTGGTTTTCTTGGGGACAATGAAACGCCAAGAGTAAAAACCTGGCTGAACGGGAAATACTGGCTTAATAGAAAGTTCCTCACTGCCTCAGACAGATGACCACTTGAAAAACGATCCCTTGAAGGAGGGAAAGAAATTGGAGACAAGGAAAGAAGATGTGACAACCAGAAGTGAAGAGAATGACCCTCTGACAAAATCTACAGCATGTTAGTGAAGGTCTCCGAAATATCAACAGTAGAACCTGGCTCCAACAGGACCTGACCCTCCTGTGAAGTCACTTATACCTCTGTAGCCGTTCTTGATGGGCACAAGAAAACAATGAAAAGGACGAGATCCTTGAGGTAAATGATGAGGTGTGGAAGAGGATGGGAAACAGGAATAACATCAGGAGCTGTGGAAGAGGAAGGTTGTAATAAATGATTATCAAGGGAAGACAGGGAAGTATATAACCTGGCCACAATAACACAGGGCTTCAAAGAACCTATGTCTCACAAAAATGGAGCCATCTTTAAGTCCCTCAGGGAAGATGGGGAAGACAAATGCCCACAAGCAGAATGTCTCTCCCTAACAAATTCCCAGAACAAAGCAGCCACCAAGTTAATATGGAAAGAGTCAATGAAGAGAGCCTCACCAAAGTCACCACAGAAGGGATCTGAAGTCCTCTGAAAAATCGTTGGGAGAATCACGAAAGGCTTCAGACAAAAGATGAATTGAGAAGAGGTAAAGCAAAATGTTAGTAAGTGTAAGACGAATCCTAGAAAATTGTGTCTATCAAAACGAAACAGAAGCCTGAGGATTAGTACTCAAGTACAGCAGATCTAATTGTTGGGAATCCAAATAAGGGTTGGAAGAGCAATGAAATGCTAAAGCATGTTGGTCAGAAACACAAGGCCAAGGCATACTAACCCCTGAACTTAACTGCGATAAAAACTGCTGAGCACAAACCTCAATGTCAGATGAAGGGGGAAACGTCAAATAATCCGAGTTAGGGATCTCATACAAAAGGGAAGGAGAGGCATCGTAAGAAACAGCAGAGACATTCAAAATGTGACAAACCTGTGTAATTAATTGAAAGAGAAGAGTAGAAGGTTGAACCACCTTCAATATTGCAGGACATGGCTGCATGGAAAAGGAAGGAGCAGGAAACAGGCTGTCTAAATCATCCTCGTCCTGAACAATCTCATCAGCCTGCAGAGGCACCAGCCATCGTGGAGATGAAGGCCCAAGTCATGTAAGACCCAACTCCCAACAATCAAGGCTTGCAGCTCCTCAACAAATAACTTTGATCCCTGAGCCTGGGTAACAGGAGTTTGTATGTTACCAATAACTTCAGGAGCTATGGTGGTAATCACGGTAAATCGCAAATTCATAATTTGCAATAAATTGTGTAAAAAATAGTAATGAAAACTCAAAGCATGCGAGAAACACATCTGACTCGAATTGTGCCATTTCAGAAAGTGAGATTTACGTAAAGTAGTACAGAGGGAGCCAGCTGCTCTAGGAGAGTGTGTTGTGCCCCTCTTGGTTGAGGGTTGTTGCATGTCCTATGCTTGAGCTTGTGGGGTATAAAGGGTAGTGCATCAAGCGAGAACATTTCTTTTGAATGCATTAAAGGGCAGTGGAAGATCAAGAAAAGTTATTGTGTGAAAGGAGGTATGTATTGAATTGGAAGAATAAATTTTAAACTGAACAAGTAGACTAGGATAAAAAAGATGACTACACGAGGAAATCATATTCAGTTAACCTTGGGATAACACAAGACTGGTATAAGCAAAATCTGTTTTCTGTCACAGTAATGTTTACATTTTCATGGTTTCCTACTTTTCATATTTAGCTTTCTAAAGAAGGCTTCAGTTGTATTGCCTCATAACAGCAATATAACTTTTTTCTTATTTTTATAGAGTAGAGGAAATTTCTGCAACATTTTCTGACTAAAAACTACTCAGTCAAAAACAACAAGTAAGGTAGATATTAATATTAGTCAAATAAGTTTAATATTAACAATACAAGTAATAAGTAATTTTATAAAAATGTTTCAAGCTAAAATTAATCAGGACTGTAGCTATTATTTATCCATTTCTAGGATTTACTTTTAGACGAAAATCAAGAAAAAGTATTTTGTTTAATGACAATTATTCATATCATAAGATATCAGTCTTCAAAAATTTGTATGACCCACTTCTGCCCAGCAACTCAAAACATCAAAGATGCCCCTCAAGAAATTATAAATACTATAGTCTTAGCTGTTATTTATATTGTACTAAAATACAAATATAAAAAAAATGTTTATATGTATCAAAGCACAAAGTTATACTTTTTAGAGGGTGGCACAAAAGTTTTCAAAAAAGTGTTGGTCAAAGGTAGTTAAAACTAAACAATGAGTTTAAACTGGACATCATCATAACCAATCTTTAATACAATAACTGGAATTCAGGACACTAAAAATCATATGTTGCAGTTTTTCTACCCTATTATCAACATGAAAACTGATATTTAATTGATAATTGTGATTCTTGGCTGTATAGTTTTAACAATGCATTCAATTTCTTTATTTTCTTGTAAGGATTATTCAGTATAAAACAATCTTCAAAATCTAGTGTTCATCCATGCTTGTTTATTTGTTAATAAAGATCACATGACTGACTAACCCTTTTCAGAAAAAAAAACAGCATTTCTAAAATTTATTTTATATATACATCTAATGTCAATTTTTAAAACTCTAGAACATAATTGTTAGAAAGGAAATATAGGGAGAGATTTAGTTAGGTTACATTAGATTCTGTGTAAGTAATAGTAGACAAGGAATGGCTGAAATGAGAACATAAATAGACATATCTGTCTGAAAATGAGCTTACCAAAATCTTGTGTTTATTATAATTTAACAGTTTAATGTGTTGAACACTAATTAAATGTATATTTATTTTGTTAGATCCAGAAAAGTCTTGTTTCAATATTAACAATGGTGACATATGATTCCAGTATATCAGTACAAGTATCTTCATTGTCATGAAAACATTCAGGACTTTAGATACTAAATTCCTAACTTTCAAGGTTTTCCTTCTGTTTTCCTGAGTGCCATGAAATGTGATTTCATTTGAACAATGCACAGTTAAACTTTAACTGTTTAATACACATGTAGATAGCCTATAGTGATTACTTAGACACCCCTAAAAATACAGTTTGACTATCTCCTTGATAATATAGGCCAAAAACTCTGATATATAAATATAGGTAAGGACAAAAGAACAGAAACATCATAACATTAAAAAAGGTATCTCAGTAATTAACAGTATTTTCACAAGGTCACATAGTTGGATGATTGGAAAGAGAGAGCTTAAAATCATCAATAAATTGCAAAGTTACTTGTAATACCACTGTCCACAGTGAACAGAATGACAGTATAATTAATTCTATTCATGCTGGAAGACAACTCTTTTTGCACAGCTCTAAGTACTCAATACTAACAAAATGGATTCATCATGCTATGAGAAGTGTGGAGACTTATCCTTGTCTAAAGACCACTATTGTTGCATGATAAGAGTGGGTGTATCCCATTACCTTCATAAGTTATTTTTGTAGCATAGGCTAAAATGATAGAATAATTAGATGGAAGCTAGTCAAGACAATATTATAACATCAACAGAAGTGAGTACCAAAGGTGCTATCACACCCTCTAGCCTCTTCAGACTCTGTAATTTAGCCTGATGAGTCTAGATTCGGACAATTCTCAGATAGTGGATGTAAATGGGTCTGATGATCAATTATTCTCCCTGAAACTTTCATTGAATCATTTACAAGTCTGGAGAAAATGGAGTGGTATTTCTGTTACAGTATCAGATACATTTGGACAGCTGACCAGTTGAACAATCACAGCTAATGGTATAAGAAGGGACAATCAACAATTTTTGAAAAAAACTAAAATTATTTAGCAAAAGTCTTCTGGCTGCCTATGCCAATGATAAGCTTACCATGCTAGATGAAGTTCCTGTTCATTCAACATGAGCTACTCTCCCATCACTAGGCCAATTGCCAGTTATGAACCTACCAATCATGTGTAGTTCATCCTTATTTATATCCTGCAAAAAAATCATCTAAGTTCTTTATCAATACAGGGGTGGCAACTCCACAGGCCTACATTTCTGCTTTAAATATTATAAAGAGCAGATCAATTAAATACTAAAGATAATCATGTACCCCTTTGTTTCATGTTTGTTTACTTAATAAAATGGCATTCTAGTTGGACTGGGAGTCCACTTACTTATTGTTAGTCTATACACATACACATGCATGCAAATGTTTTATATAAAATTCCAAAAAAGCAAATTTATATTAGATGATGATTAATGACTCCAATTAATATAATGTAACCGGTGAAAATAAACGTGCAGACATTAGAAAAGTTAAAGTTACAAGTTTCCTTCTCTGAAATAATTTTGTCATGAGATTATTTACACATTCTAATTATTTAGTTCTTCAGGAATCTCTAATTAATACCCTAAATAAACAAAAGTTATTGACTAAATTCATTCCTTTTTTCTTTTCTTAGTGTTTTCTAAAATTCCTTATATACTTGTAACATAGAGTATGTTTTCTTTATCTTTTCATTTCAAAACTACCAGGACTTCCTTCCTTTTTTTTAGATATCAACTTTATGCAACAGTTGTTATTATAATGATGTTTCTAACATTGGTCTTTCTTCCTGTTCTGTAGATGTACTTTCTGAAGACCACATATGAGTGTTCATCACTAACTTCTTAGTCCTTGCTTGATGGTCATCATCTTGATGCCCAGTTCCGTCCTTAAGAAAGTACAACCTCTGATGTTCTAACAGAATAGCTTCTGTGATGTCAATATTCCTGGAATATTGCCCCTATAGTTGTAAAGAAAAATATTCAGTTAAGATAGAAACTTTAGACTGAATATTTGAAGTAACTAAACATTAATGCAATGCCAATCTACAGTTGTATAAAGCACAGAAAATCTTTTTATACATACTTTCTTAATTGCATTTTCTCCGATATAAATATATTTTGAATAAATTCAAGAGCATTTAAAAATCATTCATACCTTTTAAAAAGCATATAGGTTTTTAAAATTTATTATTGATATTATAGTATCAAGATTTTGCTAATTTTCTGTCATGTTCCTAATATATTCTATGTTGCAAATCTTGCAGTCAGCTGAATTCTTCAATTGACTTTTCAAAATTATGACTGTTTTAAAATAGTTAAAATATCTATTTACAAATGGCTGAGAAACATTTGGCAAATTCATAAGTATTTCACTACTAAAACAACATACAATAATTTTAATTATTAAGTAATATAAAAACATGTATTAAATATTCCAATTATCAGTACATGATAATCACTTTAAAACACAAACATTACCGACATTTTAAAAATTTTCAGGTTTTATGTATGGGCCGGATTCTTTACAGTAGGTGTCTGTGACTTTTTTGGTGATAAATTTCAACAATAAACAAACAGCATACAGTCCAATTCTTTTAAAATTATATATTAAAACAAGCCAAATGTACATACAAACATTTGTTACACTGTTGATTACCACAGTTGTATCCAGAGCATTAAATAATTGTCTCTTTTTCACACAGTCCAGATCTATTGAACTACATTTTGGATGCATATTTATAACAGACAGAGGCCTAGAACATTCCACACTATACAAGGTGTAATTATGTAATAAAACACAATTAAAAGAAAGAGAAAAACTTAGAAGGTTCTAGTAACATGATGCAATAATATAACAATCACCAATTCACAACAATGTATGATTCATAAACAGTTACATAAATAAATGTGATAAACTATTGCTTTTAAAAATAACTATACTTAAGTTGAAACAGTCATGTATATCTAATAATAAGCCCATCTTCAAGAAAACTACTTATAGTATTTTTTATTAATATACACCTGGAAAAAAGTTAAGCACCCCCGTGTTTTTTCTAAGTGATTCAGAT